GGTGCCACAACTCAAAGACCCTAATCCTTGTCACTGAACTGGACATGGCAAAGCCGTTGATGTGGTGTCCGCTGGGCTGTGTCCATCGTCAACAATAACAAGAGATAGGAAACGGAATTCTCAACACACCTTCGTCTCAGAGCCCTGGCTTTGGCAGCAGCTCTTGTTTGAAAAGGCAGTGCAGCGCCGTCAGTCCAAGCTCTTTCCACCCCTACCCTCCGTGCTGGTTCATTAATCTATTTTATTTTTATTGTTTAAGGAGGAAGAGGAGGAGAAGGAGGAAAAGAAGAAAGAGTGCCAGAGAAAGAAACGGGGCAGAACACTCCCGCCCCTGGGTTAATGATGCCAGCCCCTCACCACAGAGGAGCCTCATTCCCGACCAGAGTCCGAGGAAATGGTGAAGAAAAGGGATGGGAGGGAGGGCTAATGCTCAAAACCAGCCCAGACCGGTTCAGAGAGGATTCAAAGAAAAAGAGCAGGTCTGCAGGCTGCGGGGCCCATAGTCGCCTGGGCGTTCAGCGTACCTTGAGCACGTTCATGGGCCGGTTCTCAAAAGAATCGCCAATGAGCACTTGGCTCACGAGATGAGGGTACTCAGCCACGAGGTGGTCCATCTCCTGGGTAATCTGAAAGGTTTCCAAGGAGCACAGCCATGGTCAAATACACGGGCGGATGCATCAGTTGCCCATTTTCTCTCTCTCGTTTTCCTGTCTTTCTTCCCCACATTTCCACCACCCCCAACCCCAGCCCCAGGAAGAAGGTGGAGAGGGCAGTCCTGGCCCATGCTCCAGGCATGGGGTGTTTACCTCCAGTCTAAAGGCAGAAGGGTCAGGCACCACGTACTCAGGGGCTGCAGAGGGAGACCATTTTGTAGCCGCTTGACAGTTTTGTGGCTGCACGAAATGGCAGCTCCCGGTGGTCCCTCAGCCCCAGCAAGGAGAGGGGACTTCTCCTGCCCAAAAGGGCCTGGCCCTCAGGACAGCAAAGGCAGTGACACACAAAAGTGGACTTTGAGGTGGGGGACGCTGTACAATGCAGCCAGGCCACTCGGGCCAGGGGACAAAGAGGTGAAAGAGGCCTACCCGGGCACTTCAGCCCAAGGCGCTCCTGCTTTCAACGCTAATTGAAATGCTTCATGTCCCCAAGCTGTGTCCATTGCTGGGCTTGGAGCCTGCCTGGGCGGATCTAGAGGGCATAAGTGGCTGAACAACTTTTTGTCAGTGTTTACTCTCCAGCGCCCAGTTTGCCTTGATTTCTCCGCTCCTCTTCCTCCTTTGGGTTTTTGGTACCAGCCCCTAATCCCGTACCCGGAACCCTGCGGGTCAAACCTATTTCCAACTCTGAATTTGGGGGGAGATTTTAGCAAAGTAACAAGAAGCAGAGAGTGTAGATTTTACAGACAGCATCCCACCATATTCAACCCCGTTGCTATTTCTGGCAGTGAAACAAATGGAGGAGGACGTCAGATGCAAGGAGCCCTGGTGGTGTTGGTTCAGAATTGGGCTGCTAGCCCCAAGGTCAGCAGTTCAAAACCACCGGTCCCTCTGCAGGTGAAGGATGAGATTGCCTGCTCCTGTGAGGAGTTACCGCCTTGGAAACCCGAAGGGGCTGTTCTCTTCTGTCCTAGAGGGTTGCCATGGGTCAGAGTTGCCTCGGTGGCGGCGAGAGCATGCCAGATCAGGTCAGGTTTGGGCACCCAACAAACAAGGAAGGGAAAAAAAAATCCTTTTTCAGAGCTTTTTGCATTGTAGGATAGCCGCTGCCACGAGAGACAAGAGTTCGGTGTGGCAGTCTGCTTCTCTAAACATTTGTGGCCTTGGGAATCCCCCTGGGGGCAGCCCCACCTTGTCCCACAGAGGCCCTAAGCCAGAATCAACTACAGGGGAGTGAGTGGCTCTGCCTACTTCCTCCGCCCATCCTTGCACACAGATCCCTAAAATCAGTCCCACTCCCCCACCCCCAAAGATATCTGTGTCACACAAGGGGAGAAAACAGCACTGCCCACGTAGGTGCCCAAGTGACAGCAGGTGACCCAGGTGGAGGAAGGGGGCAAGACCAACAGAAAGCTCAGGACGGACAGTCTACGCTGCTCTGAGGCCTTGGTGCCTAGGGCAAGTGAGGAGCCCCTGCTTTGGGTTTGAAATCAGAAGGATCAAGGTGGTCCCTGATTCCATGCTCAGTCTCACTGCCCTTGGGTCGAGGCCAACTGCTAGCCCATCCTAGGATGGCCAGAGCCAGGAGAACCAAGCCTTCGAATGGCTTTGTGGGGAACCCGGGTCAGAAATCAGCCTGGAAGCTAAAGGCGAGGAGCAACCGAACAAGAGGGCAATTGGCACGCTGTGCTTCCCACGGTTTTGATGGTGCTGCTGCTTAAGTGTGTCGGGCTGCTCTCCGCAAAGTCAGCGGTTCAAAGCCACCAGCAGCTCCGTGGGAGAAAGATGAGGCCGCCTGGCCCTGTGAAGATTTACAAAGCTTCAGAAACCCTAATGTAGGATGGCTGTGAGTCGAAATGGACTAGATGGAAGTGTGTGTGTGTGGGGGGGGGGTGCTTGTTTGTTTTATTTAAGATTGCCCGGACACTTCCAGAATGGCTGGGCGGCTGTTGGGCTATGTAAGGGTCCTGCAGGAAGCATGACGAGGTGCGAAGCCAGGGACACCAGTACAAGCTATGATGTTGTAGGGAAACCTGCTAGGTCACCGAGTCACCAGGGGGTATCTGGGCCGTGTCGTGGGGGGAGACGGGGGCCCCCTCTCTGTCCTCCATTGGGCAGCACTCACCTCTTCCAAGCTGTGGTAGGCTCCAAAGTTGAAGTGACCGTTTCGTTCTCTTCTCTGATTGAAAAGCATTTCCTCCTTCTCTTGATCCAACAGAACCTAGGAGAAGTCCAGTCGACCTATGAGTCGGGGCAATGTATGTCAATCGACCGCCGGGAAAGAAAGGGTGGGACTTGAGTCTCGATGGTTGTGGGGCCACGTCCCTTCCGGACTCTGGCAGAGCCCAGAGCAAATCCCGGAGAGTTAGCTATAGCAAGAAAACCACCTTGATCCCAAAGGGGATGGGACATTCATAGGACTTCCAGCCAGCCAGAGATGGTGTAGGTGTAGGATGCTGCAGATATAGATGGACTTTCAAACCCAGTCAGGGAGCGCTTACCCCCTTAGGGCTCACCCCACTATTCCAGCACCCCAGGATCCAGGGTCACCTCCAGTTACAAACAATGAATGGTAGCTGTTTGCTGTGCATCGACTAATGCCCTTCAGGCTCATGCTGTTGATGCTCTAATTCATCCTTTGCTCTTTCCCGCAAATGTATTGTTACCACTTGTGCTCAATGCCAAAGCAAGAGACAGTGCCCTTCTGTCTGCCCTGCAGGGGGAGCCCTTCCTCGGTCCATGTGTGTGGTACTCACGGGCCCCTGCCCTGGCAGAGTGGTCCCAAGGATGAAAGACTCCCCGCTCAGGAGGACCCGGGTGATCTGGGGAATATTTACCTGGACATCTTGGATCATGATGGAATAAGCAATCCCCTGGGACTCCAAGAACACTTTGACTGTTTGGACACTGTCACGTGGGACCCGGACGTGGGCTGTCGCCCCTGACACAGTGGGTGGTCTCCAGAAATCAAGCTGAAAGGGAGAAAAGGAGGGGTTACTCCAGGGGAATGGACAGCTTCAAGAAATCAATTCGCACTCTTCTCTCTTAAACCCCGGAAGACCCAATCATTGTGGAATCCCTAGGATGTTGCAACGGGAGTTCTGGAAACAGCCAGGCACCACCAGAGGTGTCCTATTGCTTTTTCCTCTCCTGCTGAGGACGAACACGGCACAAAGACAAGGTTATTTTAAATGATGGAAGTTTTGTTGTTGTTGTTTTAAGAAATATATTGGCATTGAGTGGTCCAAGTGGTTTCATAACAAGATAGTAATACACTCCATCATTTGAAGAAAGGAAGAATGCATTAAAGATGTTCAAGACGTTTTCACATTGCACCTCTTTTCCTGCTGACAATAAACCTGGGACGCAGGAGCGTGGTGGAGTTGCCTCCCATTTTATCGACTGGGCAAACAGACATAAGACAGATAGGCGATTGGTACACTGACACCCTGTTGGAACTAGAGGCCAGATCTTCAGATCCCAGTTCCACGAGTCAGCATCCCATGCTTTGCCTGAGGCAAGAAGATAGAATGTAAAATAAGAGCTCTCCACCAGCCGGTCTGATCCAACCCAGCCAATACCCTCAAGTCGATTCTGACTCATAGTGACCCCACAGGGTAGAGTAGAACGGGCCCTTTGGGTTTCTGAAGTTTCGAGCCTACAGGAGCAACAACTGGTGGATTCGAACCTCTGATCTTTCCGTTAGCAGCTCAATGGGTAACCCACAATGCCACCGGGGTGCACCCTGTGGAACTGTAGAGAAATCCCTCCAAGACATGAAGACCTCCCACCAGGAAGAATACCTGAAGATCTTCTTCAGCCTCCAGCTCCCCCAGCTTTGCTACCTGGTCCTCATCCCTGGGTGTGATCTCAAGAACTTGGTCTCTAAGGAATACGGAAAACAAGGCAGGAGCTCAGAAATACAACCTGGACACAGCGGCCTGTCCTTGGCTGCCACCGTGGGTGCCACGGGGTTGACATGGTAACCACAGCAGTCTGTCACCTCTCCGACGATCCAGAAGCTTATAAATAGTCTGCTGACCCACAGCCCCAGCATGAGGACTTGACAGGATGGCTTTATTTCCCCCAGGGAAATATTATCTAAATAATAATTAACAGCCATACCTGCTCCTAGCAGGAAGCTTGCCATTAAAGTTGTCTTTCCTTTAGCTGATGATTATTTGTTGAATAACACCTGCTGCTCATAAACCATTGACTTTTAAGACGTGCCTGTGCTGATTTTCAGAAATAAGGTTTTTTTAAAAATGTGGTTTTTTTAAGTGGCGTTATTAACTTGATCCTGTCGGAGGAACCAACATCGTATCTGAGGAGACATGGGGGTTTTCATTTGTCTGAGGGAAGAAGGGGCTAGGTGGTCAATTTCTGAAGCGTCAGAGTCCCATCTCCCAATCTCATTCCGAAAGCCCAAATCTAGGGTAGGACTAGGGCCAGTTGGGATGCAGACAAATCCTGGTGCACCTCTCTTCATGTGCGCATGCCCACACACACACACACACACACACACACACACACACACACACACGCGGCAACAATGGACTCAAACCAAGAACAATTGTGAGGATGGCACAAGGCCGGCGGTGCTTTGTTCTGCTGTGCACCTGGTGGCTACGAGGTGGAACGACGGACAGCACCCAGCAACAACAAAGGACAGATCGAAAGGCGCTCCAGTGACGCCGCTGGGCCGAGAGATGAGCCACCCAGACCCACCAGCCACCCCTCGGGTGAAAGATGAGGCTTTCGGCTCCCTGGAAGAGGTACAGTCTTCGAAACTCCCAGGGGCCGTTCGTGGCAGGCCGCTACAAGTCGGACTGGACTCAAGGGCAGTGGGTTTGGAGCCTTTGGGGTTGGGGTGGTGTGATGGGGAAGCCCTCAGCTGCTAACCCAAAAGGTAGGGGTCGGTGCCCCCAGCCACTTGGGGGAAGAAGACAACCGAAAGCCTGTTCCCATCATGATCTCTGCCCAGGACGCCCTCTGGGCCAGTTCTCTGTCGGCCAGGGTCAACCTGACAGCACACACCCACAGAGCAACGTGGCAGCCCCTGCTCTCCGTGCACAGCAGCTAAGCACTCGACTGTGAAGAGAAAGCCTGACAATTCGAACCCACTCAGAGGCATCTTCAAAGAAGAACCTGGCCATCTGCTTCCCGAGGCCACTGTCTTGGACGTGCAGGACAGGACACCCGGACAAGCGAGGGGCGTCTCAAAACCGACCCACTGTACGTTCTCCAAGGAGACATGAGCCCTATAGCTGGATCCTTACAGCCTTTTCCTGGGTGGCCAGGACCCTGGGTGGCATATGCTCTATAGCAGTGGTCCTCAACCTTCTTCATGCCACGACCCTTGAATACAGTTCCTCGTGTGGTGGGGACCACCCCAACCACAAAATCATTTCCGTTGCTACTTCCTGTCATTTTGCAACTGTTATGAACCGGGCGACCCCCGTGAAAGAGTCGTTCGACCCCAAAGGGGTCACAACCCACAGGTGGAGAACCGCTGCGCTGAGGAATAAATAGTAGCCCGGTAGATTGCTCGGGGGCAAAAAAGAGGGGTGGCCCCTGGAGGGAGCTTGATAATTGGGGGAGGGGAGTGAAAGTTGGGTCAATGTGCAACCTAGATCCTCTCACATAGATTTTCAACTCATTAGTAAAATTTCTGAGAAATTCTATTTTTTAAAAGATAAACCAACCTGTGATTTCCCCAAATTTGTCTGACCAGAGCAAATCCATTTGACTACCTACTTGGGGGCACTTGAGTGATTTGACCACTTCACTCATTCTCTGGAACATTCTGCAAAGAAATGCCTCCTAGGGCCGTCCTAGAATCTGACAAACATAGTGGGTTTTTGGAGCAAGAACGGCTCCTCGCCCTGAGCCTACAGAGCCAGCTGCAGCCCTGGTCCTCCCACCTCCTCAGAATTCCATAAGCAGGGACCTCGAGCTACCTAACGAGGGTCAAGGATTGACCTGACAGAGGAAGCGATGAGAGGATAACCCTCACGTGGTCAAGCAGACATCTTGATTCTTAGCAATATCTGTCCTCTCATTCTCACTAGACGAAAACATACCATAAGTCAGAACAGAGAGAAACCGGGCTCTGTATATTTAGTTTCCTCTATTTTTTTCCTCTTCCAAATAGCATTCGTATCCTCTTGATTGCCACTCCTCTTGTCTCCACCAGGCACCCAGACACCCAATCTAAGAGTTGCCGTTAGGTGCGATAGAGTTGATTCCAATTCACAATGGCCCCATGTGACAGAGGAGAGCTGCATAGGGCTACCACAAAAGGGTTTCCTGGACTGTCATCATTATGGGAGCAGATCTCAATTCTTTGGGCTGTAGAACCTCTCGGTGGGTTTGAACCATCAACCTCTTGGTTAGCAGCGAAGAACTCCATTGTTTGCGCCACCAGCAATCCTTCCGTCCAAGAGAGCATCTCTAAAGATGCTGACCACCCCAACCAACTGGGGATTTCAGCTCAGGGACCAGCAACCTTCCAACAAGCAGCAGAAAGTGCAACTTACCCCACAAATGTTTCTCGACAGTAGATGTGCCCCAAAAGGGCACCGAAAAACAGGATCAGCCTCATGGTCACGAAGTTCTCCAGAGTTCAGGCGGCAGAGTCCCTCCTGAATTTATTTATAGGGCCTCCGGCTGACCCATTGGCCCTCTCAGACTTCACGTGAATGCCTGCATGGTAAAATTCCCACCTGCACATGAAGTGTTCAAGGTTAGAGACACCTACCTGTGTGATTACCACCAAGCTGTACATTTTCCATTGCCAGGATGAGATAACAAACTCCCATGAAAAGAAAACAAAATTGCTAGAGCGTACCAAGGACAAATCATATATTCATGATGTAGAACAGGAAGTGCCACTAACTCTTGCCTGTGATTGAAGCCAGATTAACAGACCTAGAGGTTAAAGTCCTTTCTGGGTCGCTGACAAGGAAAAGGGCACCGCATTTATAGCAATTACCCCGGCAGCCTGTCTATCACATTCCATTAGCCCGCTCGTTTGTTTATTTTTATAATGTTTGCCCTGCAACACGGCCGTCACTGAGGCCACATCTGGGGAGTCTCCCAGTAGATGGTCCAGCCCGGGCCTCGTCGACATTAAACCGCAACAGAAGGTCTCTTCCTCTTCAATTTTGGACTGTCTCTAAAGTGATCCATCTGCATTTGCACCAAATTGATAGCCCTATTGCTGTGACTTTACCCAAAAGGAAAATGTCTTTCTCTCTGATTATAACAATCAAACTACTTATGATAGAAAGTTGGGACAAAAGGGAAGTGTTTGGTTGAATCACCAATCGTTGCTCGACCCAAAGAAAATTGTCTGGTGCATAGCTTTCCAAGGGTTTTTCTAGGCTTCGAGGTGTTGTTATTAAACGAAGATTAGACTCCATTGCTTGTTCTGTTATGCTGTTGCTCTCAAGCAAAGGTCCTTTAGACAAAGGTGATCTTCCCTTGTCAATAAATATAGATGAACGTTCATCTGACTTTGCTTTTCATGCCTAAGATAAAAATACATCTACCTATTTTTAGGAAGCATACTTTATTGCATTGTAATAATTTGCACACATTATATTCAGCCTAGCAAGAATCAGCCACAAGCAGCGCGAGAGGGAATTTTGCATTTGTCCTCTGTGTACCAAGTTCTACATCTGCACAGACTTTAAATCCCAGGTTCGAATCCCCAGCTACCTACTGGAAGGGAGAAGGTGTATTATACATAATGCTTCTGGTTTGAGACATTCCTGGATTAATTTTGTTTTCTCCTGGGAGCCAGGGTGAAGACCGAAGCTAAGAGGCAGAGGTCCTAGTTCATCGTCAAGTCCCCAAACAAAACAACCAATCCCATCTCCATCGAGGGAATGTTGACGCATAGTGGCCCTGTAAAACAGAGCAGACTTGCCCCCATGGGGTTTCCAAGGTGGAAAATCTTTACAGGCTCGAACTCCCACATCTTTCTCCAGCGAAGTGGGTGGTAGATTGAAACTACTGACCTTTCACTTAGCAGCCCAGCGCTTAACTCACTCCACCACCAGGGAGGCTCTTCGTGTCCCCCACACCCATCAGATAGACAGTAGTCAAATTGAGAAGTGAATGTACTTGGAGAGCCAGCAAAAGCTTCCTGGGAAAGATGGGACTTGAGCTGACTCCCAGGGCAAGTAGAATTTCCCTGGGCAAACTGGAGGAGAGCTGGGTTTCTGGTGGTAAACAGACACAAGATCTTGGAGAACACAGGGTCCATGGTAGGGAGAAGAAGGGACCATGCCACGCTGGAGCACAGACTTGAGACTGGCAGTGCCGGGAACGAGAGAATTAAAAAAGGCGGGGCTCCACGGTGGAGAACCTCATCCCCCAAGTCGAGGACACCTGATGAAATGGAGAAATGAGCGTCTCAGAAGGTTTCTAAACAGAAGACCGATCACCAAAGGTGGTATTGAAAGATGAATCCTGCAGGATGCACTGCAGGGGAGAGAGAATGGAAGTGGGAAGTCCAGTAAGGAGCCTTCTGGAGAATGCCAGATTTAAGAAGGCACAACCGGACCAAGAGGTAGTAAGAGAAATGTATTAGATGAGTGAGCAGTGGTATTTTAGTGGAAGAATCTCATGTCCCTGGTAAGTAACTGGTGCCTGAGTGGGTAGAGAAGTTGAGAAAGGACACTTAGGGGTGTTGCAGAATGGGCCCCTGCCCCTCAGCATCTCCCCACCCAATTACTGCACTGTGTGACGCACCGTTGTAGGGATCTGTTCTGATGATCCCCTCTACATGTAAGTGTTTGAGAAAGAGTTTTTGCTGAAAAGTATTTCCCAATTACTTGGACCTCATCAATGTTTTTAAATACTGCATATGCTCGTGTATAAGTCGAGTTTTTCAGCACATTTTTTATGCAGTGGTAAAATTAGGTGCCTTGGCTGATATTCCAGTCACCTTACCCTCGAGTATATATGGTACGCGCTTTTTCTTTCTGAAAAAGAACCCGAGGATGAGCCTCGGGCTGCGATGAGAAAGAGAAAATGAGGAAGGGAACGGGGGAAGAGGCCCAAGAGAAACTTTCTTTCCCCTCACTGCCAAGCCTGGGACAAGCCAAAGGAAACTCACTCCCGGATGCTGCCTGTGGTGAGAAAAATGCCGTTTTCCCTAGAATACATGGAAAAGGGGAATTCGAGAATAAACAGCAGTTGGAGGAGGAGGAAAGGCACGTGAAAATTCCCGAAAGCACTGTTATTTCTGTTATTTACATTATAAACAATTCTGCATCAGAATAGGATATGATCATGTCTACCACCTCAATATGTTTTTTCCCCAGCTGGTTGTTTGTTAAGATAAAACGGTTTTGGGCATTTTAAAGTGGTTTGGGTGAAATGCCACAGAGCAAACTCACTTCTCATTCAATAGTACACACACATTTTGTTTCACGACTTTAGTGGCAATCTCCCCGATGTAACAGCACCTTGCTCACTTCCTCCCTGGGCTCCCTGTAGCCAGGTGCCCATTTTTCTGCCCACTTCTGCCCTTGGTACTCTGGTGTTGAGAATGCTGCCTTTTAAGTCTAGTGTGATTGACTGTTCTGAGGTGCACATTTCTCACAGTGTTCACGTCCTTGACCTAGCACCTGTTTGATGGTGATTTCTGGAGGTGAATCTCATTCGGGATTCGAGGGGTTGCCTAAGTGCCATAGTCTTGGGGACTCTACTGCTCTCTGTCAAATCAATAGGTCTGACATTTTTTATGATTTTGAGTCTTGCGCTAAATCTTTCTCCCACTCTTTCCAGGCCCTTCCGTGATGATCCCGATTGGAGCAGTCATCTAGCTGGGTACCATCTAGTTCTTCTGGTCTCGGGCTAGTAGAGGCTGTGG